CTTTGTTCCCTGTTACCTTTTTATCTATCTGTAATGGCCTCTTAGTTTATGAAAATTTTCAAACAGTCTTAACTGCATATTTTCTGTTCCACTGGTGACTTGTATATGGAACTGCAGTTTAAGAATCTTACTGCAATGCTTGGTATCATAGTCTGTTCTTGGAGCAATGATTGTTATGGCTGAACATTCTCCTCCCACCAAATATTTAAAAAAAAAAAAATGTCCAAGGTGTTGCATGTTTGGCCCAACTACATAGGGAAAATTAAATTAATTTCATATTTAAGCATTATTTCTTGTAGATTTGAGTCCACTTCAGCACTGGTCACGACTTGCATCATCCGTGACAAATGAATAATGTGACACCTTGGGCCTAATTCTGTGCGTGCCACTTGCAGTCTGCTTCAGAGGCGGCACTGGACATTTTTAAGTGGCACTCGGTGGAGGCAGGTCAATATTTGGTCATCTTAGACTGCTGTGCTCGTTCAAGCTTTTAAACTCGTGCTGATGAGTGAAGTGCAAAAGCATGCTTTTATCAGCAAAGATAATCTTGTTTGAATTTGAGGCCAGTAGGCAGTATCCAACGCCTTACTGCATTTTATTGCTCACAGTGCAGTTTCTAGATCTCTAGTTAAATTCTTTGTAAGATAACATCTGTTTTATACTGGAAGGTTTGGGAGAGGGGGTGTACACCAAAACACAAGCCCCAGATTTATCTTTGCAAATGTGAGCAAGTTAGCATGAAATATTCAATCCTCATTCTAACTTACTTAAATAGTGAACAGTATTTTCCATTTTTTCCCCAGACTTTAATTTATAAAAACATATATTAATTGAATTCAAAAGGATTTCAGTTACTTCTATGTCCTTTGTGATAGTGCGACAGCAGTTTCTGGAGATGTGGCATGTTTGTTTATTTCTGTCTGCTGAGTCTAGGGTATTCTTTTCAAACCTGTCTGTTTGCAGTAGGGTAGGCTGGCTGTCCCGGGTGGCATTTCACCCAGCTATGGCTTAGAGTTGCTTTGCTGTACAACCATTATTTTTCAGGTCATTCTGCATTAACAGATGTTAATATCTTTACAGCCAATGAACTTCTGTTGTCTCCCAGCCAATGAGGCAAATGGGATGTATCACTGACCAGGCTTGATTTTCTGATTTTTTTTTTTTTTTTTTTAAAGCAGGTGCCTTTAAACTGAAGTATTTATTGAGAATGTTCACGTAGTGCTCCATATTTGCATATAACTGTTCAAAAATGACCATTATTTATTTTAGAAATAACAGTTTGTACTGCTTTACCCTTTCACTAATATGTAATCATTTAACGTCTAGTCTAATATTTTATGTTCAGAATGGAAAAGAACCTCCTCCTTTCAGAGACCCAGGCACTGCGAAATCAGTGTCAAACCACAGTTGCTGAGAAAGACAGACAGATTGCAGAACTACAGAAGCTGCACCAAGACACGAGTGTGAAGAAATCAGTCTCTGCTGGCAGCGCTTACCCAGCCAAGGTAAATGAATGAAATGTAGCAGGAGACACGAATCAGTTTATTGTGTTAAATTTGCAGCCTGCTTTCCAGATGAGAACTGCAAAGCACAGGAAAGTGAAGTATGGAAGGCTGATGAGTGCATTACCTGTGTGATGGTTTTGCCTTGGGTCAAATCAGCAAGTTACAACTATTGCAAGCAAAGGAGCTGCAGTTATTAAAACCACTTTTTAATGGGGTCTGCTATTCTGACCAACTTCTTTTAAATGAAGAAAAATGACGAGTTTTTCATATGTTGATAAGATAACAGAGAACAGATGAAAGAACCTCACTGGTGTGGTGTATTTTAGTGGTTAAAAACATGGAATGCACCTTCATAAAGAAATGAAATTACTGTGAAGCAAAAGATGAAGGTCATGAACCAATAATGGTTACAGATTCTTAGTCAGACTAACAGTTTGCTGTGGTTACATTGTAAGGTAATGGTATTTGCTTCTTGCTGAGTTGCTCTTGTTAGTGGATTCCTTACTTAATCCTGTAAATTACTGTTTTAGGTTAGCTAAATCCAGAATATAATATGAAGAATTTAATGCAAAAAAAATGATTCAGATGTGGTTCAACAGCAGGCTTGGTGCTGATAAATAGAGACACATACTGGACAGTAGAAAAAGAATTGGTGCACTTTACAGGTTTCTCAGTTAATTTTTTCAAATCAAGAGGAGGGATAGGATCACCAGCCAGACAGCCCGTACTACAACTATGTTATACCTATTTCTTTTTCTCTCAGTAGATAATATCAAGTCTCCCCCAGTTTGGGAATTATTACACTAAGTACAGAAGCATCATAATTTTTTGAGACATGAACCTTCTTTTAAAATCAGGTTTTAGAATTGGCTAGCTGATGGCAGTATTACTGGGGGAACAGATAGACAACCAATGACTTGCATACATCTTATTTTTAGAAAACCATTCTAAATCAAGTAAGTTCTTTTGATGTGGAAGAAATGGTAGGAGAAGTGGCACAGAAAACAATTCTTGAGTGTGAATAATATGCAGTGCACTTCACCTTAGCTTCAGTACAGAAGTATTGCGCTGCAATACCAAAAGAGGTTTCAGAGGAGGGAGGTGGAAAGCATGATATAGAAAAACTTTTAAGAAGAAGATTGAGAAAAGGTTGGGATTGTTCACATGAAGAAAGAAACAAATGAGAGTAAAAAAACCCCAATCTGATAGTACTGTGGGATGTAGGTGAAATGATAATCTATACTCTTATGTCTTGTAAATCCAGAATAGGGGACATAATGACAAATAGAAAACTAATAAAAGGATGTGCTCTTCCAGATAACATGGACAGTTTTTTAGTCATGTTACAGCTACAATATGTTTTCAGGTACACGGTTTTTAAGAGGATCGAAAAAACCTTGGTAGTTTATATAGACAACAACAGTTTTCAGAATTTGTATATGTGATACTAACAAATTTCAAAGGTCTAATAAAATTCATTCGTCAGAGCCTAAATCAATCTCTTATTACTGCAGATTAGCATAGGACCAAACTGGAGGGAGAAGGGAGAGATGTGCCTAATAGAAATGTTCTTACCCTTCTCCTGAAGCAGCTGGAGTTGGCTTCTGCCAGGAACAAAATACTAGATTTATAAAGCTAGCAGCTGAGACCTAGTCTGGCAATTGCTGTCTACGTTTGTAGGCTATCATTAAAGGTTCAAGGAAAGTGTTATCTTAGAATAATAGTCTTATATGGCTTTTCTGTGCCAAAGGAAGTAAACTGTATTCCTTGGAATTTCATTAAACACAACATTTTAGTTGGTTGTTTATCTCACATGCTGTACATTTTCTATGATTAATACCACGAATAAAAGCTATTAAATGGTAATGTCATTTGATTATGGAATATTTTAGGTGGTAGAAGTCTTTATTTCATAATTTAATAGAAAAATAGATTCCATAAAACATTAGGGGTGGCACACTTCCCTCTCTTGTTGGAGATTAACATCAAAATATTGACCTGCCAGAGATGAAGGTGGCCAAAGTTGTGAATTGGTGATAAAGTTGGGTTGTTTGGTTGGTTTTTTTTTTTTCCTAAAATGGACTTTCAGCCAGTGATAAAGTTGGATTGTTTGGTTGGGTTTTTTTTTTCCAAAATGGACTTTCAGCTTTAAAATAGCTCTTGCTTTACAGGTAACAAATGCCATACATGATTAGTTTCTAAATAATTTTTGAAAGGTGTTTCATATTGACCAGGCTTTTAATATTTTTTCCTTTTTGTGTATGTGTGCTTCAAACTTATTTGCAAATTAAAAATTAAGTTGGATTGCCTTTTCATGGTAATATTTTTTTAATTGATGTACTTAAGTAGAAAACACTGAGGTTTTTTTTTTAAATATAAAATCTCTTGCGAATGTGGTATTAACTTATGAGAAGTAAATGATCTTGTGAAAAGGAAATTATTGTGTAGCCCATATATATATATAGTGTTGGAGTAGTGTATTATTTGGAAAACTCCTATACCATTTACCCTGAATATACTAATACTTTTTAAGGTTTTAGAGACTGTCTCTCTTGCTGGAAGTGCAGACATGCTAGAGGAAATCAAACATGTCTTAGCTGAGAAGAATCAGCTTCAAAATGAATTGCAGTGCTGTCTTCAGGAGATGCACCAGAAGGATCTGCATTTTCAGCAGATTAATTCGAAGGTAACTTAAAACAACAGCTGTGACCCTAAATAGCTCATGGGACCTGCTAAGAAATACTGCTAAATTGGTGCCATCTTGTATAATTGAAAGGTAGAGTGCAATTCTGTGAACAACTCTCTTGGCTCAGATGAGAAATTACAAGCTAAATGTCAGTATTATCTTTCTGACGGGCTTTCCTGACTCGTTATTTGACAGAGGGAGGTTTATTTGAGTCTGTGTTCTGAAGAGATTGATGGGGCACTGCTGAACTTCTACTCAAAGTAAAATGTTTCATTATAGACAGAAACAGATGTCTGTCTTAGCTGGAACAAGGTTTTAGCTATCTCATACCAAATTTTAAATACCTCAGAAATATTCCTTACAATTTCTGGGTGAATCCTTTTGTGGCTGTTTGGGCGGCATGTGTGTGTTCAGTCAGTGTTCTTGGGAACTCCCTTAATGCTAGGTCTCTTTGCCTGGCTTGGTGTTGGAAGCAAATCAGGTTTATGTTACCTTTCATCTGTCATCGTGTCTCTTTTCACTCCTTCACCCAAACATTTTGTAAACCTAATAACCATTTTAACCAGACTTTGAGATTTCTATGCTTCTATCGAGTTCCTACAAGTGAAGATGAGTGTTTGGTAACGGGTGGAGACCCAAATTACGGTCTGTTTTTGAAAAGCTGAAAACTCAACTGCTGAGCATTCCTGGACTGCCTGATAAACATATTTATACTTTCAAGCTAATTTGGCTACGTGCCTTGGTCCTGAAGTAGCAACTACATATACTGTCTTTTCCCAGGTTGTGATGATACAGCAAACACGGGAAGGAAGGCATTGGGTGTTTAAAACCCTGAGTTTCTGGTTTGGGCATATTGATGACAGGGGAAATCAATACTCAGATTTCGTTGTTTCTGCAGCTTGAAAAACAACCAGTTAAATCTTGCCAAACTGTGGCTTTGCCAAAGGGTTGATCCAGTTTTGAAACTAGTACTCAGTTGTTTTCAACAGCAGGTCTCAAATTTGTAGTATGTTTCCTAGATAAAAATTCCTAATATTTATTTATTTAAATGTTAATTTCTTTCAGGTTGTGCAGTCAGCAGAAGAGAATGCTGTCTTGTCTGCCCAGTTGAAGACTCTCTCACAGACTCTGAGGGATAACCAGCTTTGTTACACTGACTTGCAAAATCGTTATTTAAGACTGGAGAGGGAATATCAGGCAAGACAAGTGACATCTTTCCAAGGCACTGTTCAGGTAAACAAATATATGGAAATGTTTTTAGGGTTTTTTTTCTGTGCTTATTGCTTTTCAGGTTTTCATGGTAAAAAAAAATATATATATATACTTTTTTTTGTACTGATTCAGTACTTTTGCTAGCCCATGATGTGCTGAAGATAACTGTCTGTACTGTTGTAAAGATATCCTTACTTGACTTTTCATTTAAGGAAGCTGTTTTATATGTGTTTCCTTTGTTTTGAAGTATCATCTTTTTTGAATTGGTCTACAGCTGGCAGAGATAATTGGTCACTAATCACTGGATCAGCAAAGTTGAGTGGTAGTATCACATCAGTCATGAATCATTTTGCAAAGTTTGAGCAGTATTTTCAGAAGTGAGATCTATATCCCCAGTTCAGCATGTCAGTACCCTTTGCCAACCCCTCATACGCATCTGTAAGCTTATTCCTTTGTGATCTCTTAATTTTAAAAAGTTTTTTGGTACTGCCTTGGTTATTCATTAACAATAAATTAATACAATACCCTAAAAATCATATAGATACATATATGAAACAACCCTTACTCTTCTATAAGCAGAAATAAACAAGAAGAACTGTAAACTAAAAAAGAAATCAATACCTGCTTTACTTACGAAACTGTGGCCACTGGTATATTATTATGTGGATATGTAGAGGCATTTCTTTCACTTCAGCCATTGTTCAGTGTTTGCTGTGTTATGCAGTGTGTATGTATCCTTCCAGTCCTGCAGCAGTATTCTTCATCAACTTTTCTGTTAGAAAACAAGTTTGGGAAATCAAAAGATTAAATGGCACAAAGAGTGGTTTGTTCCACTGCCTCATGGTGCTTATGGCTTCTTTAATTGAAATAAAGATTTTTAGCAACCGGAAAAATGGTGACTGGCTTTTTTTTTCCCCCTTTAATATTTTCTAGGGTGAAACTAGAGCAGAAGTTCCTCCTGGGGCACCACAGGAAAGATCGGCCGTTATTGTTGAAATAGACAATAAGGAGCTAAATGAACTCAGAAGAAGGTCAGGACTGAGAGCATGTATTAGCAATATTGTTTTAGTGACAGATGTGTTGTAGGTGTCAAAAGTAATGCTTTTCTATCCCTTTAAGGCATTTTGGGGGAAAAGGGAAAGAAATGGATTTACAGTGGATTAAATGAATCTTAGTTGTATTCTTGAATTGTTATTACCTGTTAATATTTGTGGCTTGTTTGTGTGAAGATATGTGCTTATTGGTGTCTTTGTTTCAGTATCTAACCTAAAGCATCTCATAATTAAGTGTTTTCACAAAAAAGAACATTCCTTAATAGAACAAGAAATGAATAGTTTAAGCACATAAAATACTGATTTTGGATTTCATTTTGCGATAGGCTTGCAGAGACGGAGCAGCAGTATGACTCAGTGCAGCAGGCGCTCTCACAGCTGACAGAAACACTGTCAGAAGAGAAGAGGAGACGAGAAGCTGCAGAAGAGGCTCTTGGACTCTCTGAGGAGCAAAGTAACAGGTAAAATACTTCTGTCTGTAAGATATGTGGGTTTTCTTTTCCTTTTGAAAGAAAAGTGTCTGTAAACCTATTTCTCTTCTTACACTTTTGAAGTATGTGGCAGTTAGATCGCTGCATTCTAAACCCTTACGTGGGTATGGAATAACCTGTGTGTTCAGAGGGCCAAAGCCATCTTTCACGTCTGCTTCCCCTTGGACAATCCATGGTGGGATTTTCATTTACACTATGCCTGGAGTAAATGCAAATTGTACCACAGAACTGGAAAATGGAGTGTCAGGATTTTTTTGTTTGCCTTTTATTTTTAGTGAGATTAATGATAGGTTTTCCTGTGGGTGTTGGATTTCTGAGGAAATGATAGAACAAATGGAACAAACAAATAATAGAACATGTTTGTTAGTCCACAGTACCTGAAGCAATGAAAATACACATGTAACTGTGTTAAAAAGCTAGGCCTAACTTTGGGGAGCAAGAAAATGGTATGGACTTTGGGGTTTATTTTCTTTATTTAATTCCTTAATTTAAGGCTTTAGTACAGCCACTGTTCAGATTTAAATGTCATCGTCCCTCTGCCTACATAAAGTGTTCATCACTGCCATTATCTGAAAATCACTATTCCATCACCTAGTGTTGATGGGAGTTATACTGAATAAATGAAACACCTTGAGAGTAGACTGTAAAGACCTTACGACATAAACTAAGTCCTACTGCTTTTTGTGGGACCTTCCCGCTAATGTAAGTATACAACATAATGTTTCTTATGTGAATTCAGTACTTTTAAAGAGCAGATAACTCAGTACTCCATTATCTCCTTTTAATTTTTCTCTAGATTTGAAATAAGCAGTTACAGGTCTGTACCTAGCGAATACACTGTTCAGATGGAAACTGAGGAAGAAAAGGAGGCCTTAATCATCAATCCTAGTGAACACGTTGTGGTGCGAAAGGTAAGTACATGAAAGCTTTTAAAACCCCGGAATGACAAGCTACTGGAAAAGTGGCATGCATGTTGTATATTGCTAGTTGCAGAGTGAAGATGGCTCATTATCTCCTTCGTGCTACTCCTTTTTTTTTCCTGTCTTCCCTCTGCTAATGCCTTCTTCCAGCTGTCATTCATTCTTGGGGTGTGAATTTCCCTTCTGAGTGACTGAGAGTCGTTGATTTTGGGTCATCCTCTTTATACGTAAACACTGGCATGAAGGGGTCACTTGTCCAATCTTCCTAGTCTCTGAAAAGAAACACTTTTACTGTGTTAAGTGTCATGGAGATGGGAGGGCTGTAGAGGCGTCCATTCAAAGTAACAAGCTACTGCTGAAACCACATTTTGCTGAAAATATGACCTTAATTTCTTTCTGTTTGGGTTGTGGACGGTGAGTCAAATACAGGCAGCTGGGTAAACCATGCCACAGAACATACGGCACATGTCCAAATCAAAATGTGTGGAATTGTATTTATATTACACATGTGGCCATTAAATAAAATGTGTATGCATATCATAGAATCACGGGATGGTTTGGGTTGGAAGGGACCTTAAAGACCATCCAGTTCCAACCCCCCTGCCATGGGCAGGGACACCTTCCACTAGACCAGGTTGCTCCCAGCCTCATCCAGCCTGGCCTTGGACACTTCCAGGGATGGGGCATCCACAGCTTCTCTGGGCAACCTGTCCCAGTGCCTCCCCACCCTCTCCAGGAAGAACTTCTTCCTGATATCTAATCTAAACTTCCCCACTTTCAATTTAACCCCGTTCCCCCTTGTCCTGTCACTACAGGCCCTTGTAAAAAGTCCCCCCCAGCTTCCTTGTAGCCCCTTCAGGCACTGGAAGGGGCTATAAGGTCTCCCCGGAGCCTTCTCTTCTCCAGGCTGAACAAGCCCAACTCTCGCAGCCTGTCCCCAGAGCAGAGGGGCTCCCGCCCTCAGAGCATCTCCGTGGCCCATATAACTGTGCATTTCATCTCTAGTATGCATATAATGCACAAATATCTTCTATCCAGTCGTCTCCCCTTTTATTACTGCTGTTTTCTTTGGCCTTTAAATCATTTATGGTCACAGCCTCTGCTGTGGCATGCATTGCTGCATCAGAGGTGTAAGGTTTATAGTGTCTCAGTGGAGCATCTTTTGTCTGTATTCATGGTTAGTTATTTGACATTTTTGTTTCTTAACCAGATGAAAGGAGGAGCCCTTTCCTTCAGAAGATGGCTTCGAGGGCGAAGTCTTTACTGTTCTAAACTGCTGATCTCCAGAGCAAAATCCCGCTATTTATTCCTCACATACCTGGTTACACTACATCTTGTTGTTTTCCTGTGCCTCACTGGTGTTCTCTGAATACGCTGCATTTTCTGCATCAATTATTTCCCTATAGGTAATGGTGTGCCAGTTCAAAATAATAGACTTTTCACATGCTGCTGTAAAGTTGTGCACTGGATACAGCTGTATATATTCTTGTGACACTACATGATTCTTAGGCTTCTGAAAAGAAATTTGTGTATATCACAGTTGCTCCAAAGTTGACTTGAATTGCCCTTTAACAGTGGAATATTATATTTGCTAAGGAGAAAATATTCCCCTCTGCCCTATAAAGAAACTGCTGCATACGAGTTATTTAATATTGTTTGTGAGTACGTAATGGTTGATTACTACTGAATGGGTTGTAAATGATATCTTTTCTATATAAATTTTATTTTAAGAGTTAAACTATAAATTTTAAAGGAATATTCATGGCTATTACTGTTTACTGGCTTCTTGATTATACCAAGAAGTTTTATAGAGTGCAATAAAGGAAGAACTACTGGATTTTTGATTTTTTTTTTTTCCCCTTTGGGCTGAAAATAAAGGATTTAAGGTTTTTCTTTGGCCGTACGTTTTGTAATGGTTTTCACAAGGTGCACAGATATATGGTAATGAGGTAAGCTGATGGTTAAAGATGCAGAATTAGGATGACATGAAGGAATGTTTTCAACTTCCTATGTTCCTTTACTACTGTTTAAAGGTGCAATTTCTCTAGCTTTTCTGATTGGGTTTTGTTTGTTTGTTTTTTGAGGTTGATTTAAACTCACCTGCCTTTCTTGTCTTGGTGGGTTTAGTTAGTGCATATCTTTGGGGCAACATGTTACTCAGCTGGTCAACATGTGAAATTCAAGCTTATAAAGACAGAACCTTACATATTTTACATCCTTGGGCTTCAAGATGCAAATGAATAAAGGGTGCATTTTCAACTCAGACTCTATAAGAAGTAGATGATTTGCATTCAGTTTCCATATTTTCTGGCAGCCCAGAAAGCCAACCGTATCCTGGGCTGGATCAGGAGAAGTGTGGCCAGCAGGGCGAGGGAGGGGATTCTGCCCCTCTGCTCTGCTCTGGTGAGACCCCACCTGCAGTGCTGCATCCAGCTGTGGAGCCCTCAGCATCAGAAGGATATAGACCGGTTGGAGCGAGTCCCGAGGAGGCCACGGAGATGCTCCGAGGGCTGGAGCCCCTCTGCTCTGGGGACAGGCTGAGAGAGTTGGGTTTGTTCAGCCTGGAGAAGAGAAGGCTCCGGGGAGACCTTATAGCACCTTCCAGTGCCTGAAGGGGCTACAAGGAAGCTGGGGGGGGCTTTTTACAAGGGCCTGTAGTGACAGGACAAGGGGGAACGGGTTTAAATTGAAAGTGGGGAAGTTTAGATTAGATATCAGGAAGAAGTTCTTCCTGGAGAGGGTGGTGAGGCACTGGGACAGGTTGCCCAGAGAAGCTGTGGATGGCCCATCCCTGGAAGTGTCCAAGGCCAGGCTGGATGAGGCTTGGAGCAACCTGGTCTAGTGGCAGGTGTCCCTGCCCATGGCAGGGAGGTTGGAACTGGGTGATCTTTAAGGTCCCTTCCAACCCAAACCGTCCCGTGATTCTATGATTCCGTAGACACGTAATAGTGTAATGGGATCCATGTTTTGTTACGATGTTCTTTGAGACTGTAAAACTATTTACTGATTCAAAAAATAACTTACTTGTGAAGACTCTGGCCACTGGAAGCTGGAAGGCTGTTTTTAGACCCTGTATTGTTTGGTGTTTGTTCTCACTGCATTTACGCTCACGTCCGTATAAAATGGAGACACCATCAAAACGGGCCAAGTCTGAAGGAGTGGACATTAAGTCACAAAAAGGAGCAGCCATTTGTTTTCCTCTTCGCTAGACTAAAATCCTAAAAATCTTGTGGGCGAAGAAAAAACTTCACGAGTATAGAAATGGGGGGGATTTCATCAGTTTGTCTGAAGGGCAGACATAAGCTTGACTTTGAACAGATGTGAGGGAAGTGATCTGTCTGCTTAAGGTCCAAGGATTCTGGTGTGTGAGGCCTGCTGCGCGGTCGCGTGACAGGTGGGAGGGGTTGGTTGGCATTTGTGTTTGCGGAGTTAACATTTACCTACTTGTACCTGATACTCTGCATCCGTCATGTTTGTCCTGCGGAATGGGAAATTCTGCCGATGGTAATTCCACTGCAGATAAATTCTATCAACTTTCTTCTTTTGTTGGTTCTTTAGTATTCTTAGTGTCGTGGTTTAACTCCG